CCGCAGGTGTTGAAACTGTTGACGCACGTGCCGGGACATCTGCCACACCCAAGCGGAGGATGAAAAAGCATCTCCAATTTGCTCATTTGCCCTCTACTTGGGTGCCTGGGTGTCCAAACACGCGTAGTGCATGTACAGGCCCTCACGCTGTCAACGATGAACGAACCGCACAGTACAAGCAGACGGTCGAGAAGGCGACATGAAAGCTGCCGTTTTTTGTGTTTTGGTGCGTGACGTCATCACATCTAGCCAGACTGCTGCGTGAAGTCACCAGGAGTAGTACTGTAGCCTGACGTCAAGTTAGTGCCCATGTCAGTCAGTCAGTGCACCGTGAGAAGATTGACTCTCTCTGAGACGCAACGTACACAATTGTGTACACCACTCGTTTTTGCTATTTGCATCAAGTAGAGGTTAAGAAATAGCAAGATATATCGTACTTTGGATAGATTGAACCTCCTGCATAATAAATTTGTCATAATTTACCTTCATTTTGCAGTGTACTAATACATATGATCACTTTTCTGAAGGCACTATCACGTTTCACGAGTCACGCGACGTGCCGCCTTCTGCAAGCAATGTGGAAAGCAGAATTTTTCTTTGCTCAAATTGGACATAACATAAAATGAATTTGTGCTATAATCCTTGCCTGAAATTTTATTCTGTTTATACCAAAAGTAAGCATCAATGACTTCAGTGTAAAACATGACGACAGTTATAGCACGAGAACAGAACGACGACGCAGAGACAAGAAGGACACGAGCGTCCTTCTTGTCTATGTGTCGTCGTTCTGTTCTCACGCTATAACTATCGTCATGTCATACCAACTAACCCAAGCTGCCACACTTCAGTGTAAAGCTATATTTAATTACAAATTAAATATGATGAGTTACTATAACACCTAAATTAAAAAATTATTTTGTTATTATTGTTGCACTAGAATATTGAGTGCCTTGAAGTAAAGTTGTAGTGATTTGACACATATACCGACAGTTATTCATAGGTGGCATCTGAAAGGGTTAATATTAAAATAGAATATATTATCAGCTTTAGCTGAGCGTTACATTTCCTAGAGCTGTCTCTGTATACAGGAGATTTGTAAGGCAGAACAAACTTGGCTTGAAAAAAAGGTGTCAGTGCCCCTTTAGAGCACCTCAAAAACTCAGTATAACGCCATCGCCTCGCGGTGTGCGAAGCAGTCCACTGACCTAAATTCTGCTGGGAGGTTGCTTCCAGACGCACCAGAGTGCTCGTGCCTCTATGATCTGGGTGAAATAAGGAGATACACAAAAGAAGCAAGATAGACGTGCTCAATTTCACGTAAAGTGTGCTTTTTACTGGTGGGTCTAAAGCTAGAAAAATTAGAAAAAGTGTTGTCGCCTATTCGTCTTGAAGATACTGAGTATAGCATGCAAAATTCAGTCATGACTTAAGCTGAAAATTGCTAAAAATTCTTCATGTCGCCATTCATAATTTTAGGTCACCATGGCACTCCCAAAATTGCCAATTTGGTGAAAAGTAGCCTCCAGTGGCAACCCCGGATGTAGAAGAGAAGAGGGTATAAAAGACGTTTGTGTGCCTACAATGAAATTAGTGTTCATAAGAAAATGCATACGTGGTACCCTGCTTATAAACAGACAGCTCTTATAAGCAGGGTACCATCTGCCCTGTGCATGTCTATTACAAAAGGGTGCAACTGTATTGACCTCATGAAAACTGTGGAAAGCAAGCTGTTGACTGGGGGAAAGTGTGGAGAGCGCGTGACATACGTCACTCCAGCTGTGTTGCTTCTGGGGCGCCCTCTATAGAGATATTTACATAAAGGATGTTGTACCAACAAACGGGGCCACTTTTGTTGGGGACGCGGACAGTGCGTATCATTAGTGCAACCGTTGGGCTTCGGTCTGCATCCATGGCCACGTTGGCTCGAACGTGCCCACTACAGAAAGTATTTCAGTTATGGTGGCTTACCAGTCTTTGAGCTGTGTTTTCTGTAGGTTTATTGTTTATATACAATACTTCTCTGCCTTCAAATGATTTACACTGTCAGCGAGTTTAGGTGACATTTTGTTGCATCTGTTTAATTACTTTTGTAAAATAAATGCAGCAAAAGAATGTAGCAGTGAGCCCGGCTTAAACAATGTCGTATTTCTCTTCCATCTTTCTGTTCTTTATTGCAACAGCCGCGGAGAAGGAAGGGGCTGCATCTGAGGATGAAGGTGGTGTACGGCGCATGGATCTGATCAACTGGTACCTGAAGGAAATAGAGAGCGAGATAGAGACAGAGGAAGAGCTGATCCAGCGCAAGACCATTGTGGAAAAAGTAATCGAACGACTTGTGAACCGGGTAAGCTGGCTGGCTACTGGCTTGAAACTATCTTGACTTTTGAGAAAGCCAATTTCACATAAAAAAATAGATCTTTGCAATCCTTAGCTGAACTGAGTGTGGTGGTGACAAAATTCTTTTGTTGCCAGTTTGAAAAATGATGACGGAAGATTACAACTTAGACTACACTGAGTAACAATTTCGTTTGTCACTGCGGCTCTTAAAATGAGTCTGGATCTGCTCCTGTCTGCATTTCGGTATGTACCGAGACTGGTACAAGTGCAACGCTGCCTCTGTATGAATAAGCATAGCAAAAAGCACGGAGGTGTGATGGTGGCCACTAACAAATTGGCGTGTGCAACTTATCGCCGACAGCCCCATTTCAGTAAGTATCTTCAACCAACTGTCCGGCTTTGTGTGTTGCATAGCACTGTCGTAAGCTGCCGTACACTTTAATAGGCATCAACCCAAGCACACTGCTGCTGTTCCCCTCTTCCTTCTTGTGCAGAAGTGCTAAGTTTGTCAAGGAGACAAGGAGTGTGCATCTCTTGCAGAAGCAGCTTGTCATTGCGACATTGAACCAATGAGATATTAACTGCATCCATGCATGGTCACCAGTGGAGCAGATGCAGAGAATCTATTCTGCACATACTAATCATGGCAATGCAGCAAGTGTATTGTCAGTGATGGTGTGAGCAAGCAGGTCACGTGCTGCACACAACTATGGATGATCGGCTTCACGTAGCCGTAATATTCAGAGTCCTTCAAAAGTTCCCAGGCCACTATCTCGCATATTCCTATGGCAGTGTGGCCTGGAAGCTTTCGACAGACCCTGTACCTTGTTCTGCTGAAGCAACCCATCGTTTTTGCGCAGTGTCAAGTTGCTGTGTGAATGTACTATACACATGCATTGTGCAGAACTAGAAAAGCAGTCTGTCTTCTCTACTACCAGTGCCAACCACAGTGTGCATTCCTTGTCATACTGGTTTCCAATTTCTCCTTGGCATTTCCACAATGTGCCATTGGGCCACCATAAAACCAGAATTTTTTCTCTGCTTCAGTGAAAAGACAGAAAGAATGTTGTAGTGGTGCTTCAAGCAGGTTTTACTATGGAATTGCACGTATAGTATATAGTTTTTTGTTGGCAGTGACTTGGTGATACCAGTAAGGAATTTCAATACTTAGTCGATGATGCATTCTTTGAATAATCTTGTGCATCGTGAAGGATATGAGACCAGTGGGAAAAAGTAAAGTATGTGAAAATACGCAAGACCTTGACGTTTCGGAATCCACTTGGTTCCTTCCTCGAAGGGTACTGTGGCGACGTTGCAGCGGCGTCTTGAAGGCACTCGCGGGGTGTTTAATGACACCCCCCCCCCCATTTTGCCTGTACATGTAAGCAGATGCTGTACTTCGCACTTTTACACTATATTCTCTAACTACACTGGTTGAGGTGCCTCATCTAAAATAGTGTCAAGGTGCGGTGGTGGCTGTTAATCTTACTGTAATAGGTGGAAGTTCGCAGGGCGAATCGGATTGGCATACATCATTTAGAAGCATTGCGATTTGATTTTTAGCAAATGAAACCATTATATACCTACTTATTTTCTGGAAGTTTGAACACTTTCAATAGTAAAATTCCAATGTGAATTGAATAGTGAACACTATTTCAAAGATACTCGGAAGTTCGAATATACATGTACCCCTAGTTTTTTTCTCAACCTTCATAATCATTGTGTGCCGTCTTCGAGAATAAGTGTATGCACTCCTTTAAATATTTTGTTTGCTGCTAACTGGTTGTCCATAATGGTGTTCTACGGTGAAAGTCTTTAAGGTAACAGGTTTTGAAAACAAATGCTAATTGTTACGCTGCGCTTTCTTGGCAGGATCACATTCTCATCGCACTCTCCAAGAGTGGCCTGAAAGGCGCTGAAGCAGACAGCGAAGACGACGAAAATCCAATCTTGGTCGTTCACCCCAACTTTGTCCCAGAACTTTCGTGAAGGGCACTTCTCAGACTTGCCTATTTTGTTTTTAGCCTGTGGCACTGCCATACCGTTCACATGCAGCCACTTGCTGTAATGTAAAAAATGTAAATATGTACTTTGCTAAGTATTGCCCATTGATTTCCAAGAAAACTGGGGCTCAGCATCGCTCTATTTTTATATGCATGTGTACTTTTTAGGGCATTAACTGTCATCTGAATTTAGCAGTCCAGTGTTCATTAGCACTGGCATTCTTGTCGGTGAGCTTTATAATTACTTTGAATTTATATACAATACTCCGCTTTTGCACAATCGTTTTGTAACTTTTACCATAAACTGTGAAACATATTTTTGAGGTAGTATTCTAAATAAATCAATTTCATTCTTTTTACACTTGTTGTGCTATACATATCTTGTCCATAAGAGGTGTTTGGTAAAACTGACTGAACTGAAAAATGTCTCGAGGCTAAAAATGCGTCCAGACAAATCTGATTTATTTCTATCAACATTTATCAGTTTACAGCAACATGAATTTGAGGAGTTAGTTATCTCTTGAGGAGTTATCTCTGTGAGTGTGATATGAATGATATGGTGCAGTTTTCTTTTTGCACAGGATTGCCAAGGGTAAGTGTCAGCTTGAGTAAAGGTGCCAAGTGTAGGTTTTTTTATGTATAAAGAAAATGACAATCAAAGAGAAGTAAAATTATTTTTATTTAATGTTTACTAAACATGGATATGTGTAGTGCAGAAAAAGAACAATTGAAACAACGTAAATCTGTGGCTCATGTCATAGTATTTTTCTCTACTTTTGCTATTTTATACAAAGCATATGGCCAGAAGAATTCATACGAGACACCTTTGTAAATCACGCAGTTGGCATAGTAACAAAATGGAAAATGCCTTATTGCCGAACTGTCTGCGATTTTATGCAGTCTCATGGCACAATAGACACAACATACGGATACGTTACCACAAACAAGGCCTGCTCACTATCAAAAGGAGAGACCGGCTAGTGCAAAGCGCCATCTGGACGAGGTGGATGAATTCAATGTCAAGAAAACTACATGTGCATGAAGTCCACTGGCAAAGTCTCTCAACTATTTGACATAGACTACAAACTACAAAACATGCGAAGCACGACGCAGACACGCTTCACGAGTAAATGCAATGGGACGAAATGGCGAAATGTCTTGCTTCCTTCTGCTATGAAAACATTTTAACGCAGTGTAACACAGTGGTAAGTCGCAAACCACAGTATCCCTCGTTTCTATGTGCTTCAGCCCATACATATTATATGGAAAGCTAAGGCAGGCACTTTTCTTATTCTTGATTAGGTAGGTTACAACAAAACATAAGCACGCAATGAAACAAAACGAGCATACCAGCCAGGGTATGGCTCTTAAACAAGATCCGTTATACTATGTGCACATAAACATAACTATGGGACACAACCTGTTTTTCGCAGCAGCACAATGAGATGCTGAAGTGATGTGAGATATTTCGCCTAGCTGTTCATGACGCTGAACGCTAAGGCAGGCTGCTGCTGTTACTGACGCTTCCTCCGGTCATGCTGACTTCAGAGATGGAACTTCTTGTCGGGCTGTTGCGTACGTGCTCCGTGTGACGCTTCACGAGCTTCTCCACAATAATCTGCTCGATTTCTACGCCTGCCGCCATTTGCTCGGGCGTAAGGTTAATAACCTCATGATCGTCGCTGGTCACAAAGACGACTCTGTGCTTACGGCTGTGCAGCTCGTTGCCGATCACGAGCTGCAGGAGAGGGACATAGCAGTGAGTCGTAGACAGAACCAAATAAACATATGAAAAAGAAAAGATCACTTAGGTTAGGCAGTCTTGGAGGGGCACTGCAGCACCTTTCCTGGATAATCGGGAGATAACCTTTCAATAGTTGGATACAATTTAATTAAGAAGTCTCGAGTGGCCCTGCCCACAAGACAAAAATGCGGCAGCGGATCTCCTCTGCGATTAACGCAATAGTCCTGCTCGGGTACTCGGCAATGTTCTCCAAAACGCGGTCACCAGCCATGTGGCTCGCTTCAGTCTGAAGTGCACGCCCTATATTGCAGGCATTTGTGCATCCACCTTTAAAGAGGAAATGCTGCTGACTTTTAAAGTTTTATCCACCTATAGTAGACTGTTGCCTGCCGAATTTCCTGTGCTAAAAATTACTTTGGTTATAAAGCAGTCACAGGTAGTCCTCGCGAGTCTTCTTACACACTCATGGGCGTTAGTGACTGAATTACGAGTTTTTCAGCGTATACCAATTGCAAGAGGACTCGAAGAACGTATTTGCAAACATTTTACGTATATGTTTCGTGTGTTTACATTTTGACATAAGCTTTACAGTACGCTTGCTTTTAATGGAAGATGATAACAGTGAGACGACTGCTAAAATTTATAAATGCATAGCAAGTCAGCAGTTATTTGATCTTTGCCTCTTTTGATATAGCCCTGTTGATTGCAGTATCCGAGTTGCCTTTAGTTTTTCAAGTAACACTTGCCTTGTGCTTGTAGGTAGCTAACGCTCTTCTTGCTTTGTCCAGGAGGATGTTTTCATCTGTTTCCAGCTGGCGATAAATAAGACAGGCGCAATTTTAATTTCCAGTACTTTTTTAAGACTCTTCTTGACTGTCAATTGAAACATTAACCGAGCCTTTCTCTCACCTTCCGTCCATTTATGTCCGAAACTAAGATAAGCTGAGCTCAAATGAAAGAGTTTTATCAGTTTTAGAAGATGCGGCATAATGCTATAAGAAAACGCACCCGTGAATATGTGACGAGAGAGCTTGTCCAGTGGTGCCTGACAACGGGCTGTATTGTTGGGAGAGGCCCAACGACGGGCAGCAATGGGCCAAGCCAAACATCAGAGAAGAACAGAAACTGGAAGCCTACTTTCCATTTGCATCGTATATCGTAAATGAGCTGTCACGTGCAGTAAAAAAAGATATGCGGTACTTCTGCTTAGAACCATAATCAAACATTTGAAGTTAAATTCAGTTTTGGACGATTTTGTTTTGAGAACAAATTTTCAACAGTCCAAGCCTTCAGGCAACCACAAAGGCGATTAACAAGTGAAAATGGAACTTATAAAGCGGGTTAACACTGAAAAAATCCTTCAAGGGGACACTGAAGTGGTACAATGACTCAGTTTAAATTGACAAACTGTGCCCCGAGAACTCCAATGCCATATGTTTCACTATCATAAATTTATTATTAGGGCAAAAAATCAAGGTTGAAGTTTCATTTTTAAATTTCAATCCGAAATCTCCGTGCGTGATGTAAGAAATTCAAAAATATATTTTTGTTTGTTTTTTTTCCCCGCAATACTGGCTCAAAATTTTCTGAAGCTTTGTATGCTAGCTATATAGGACCCAGTAAACGCCTTCAAAATTTATGACGTCATGATGTTTGGTGTGGGAATCTCAAAGTGGCGTCTTCACCGTCACTTTCGTTTTGTGCATTTTCTCGCTGACCATGCGTTGTGTCACAAAAAGAGTAGTGTTTTCGGGATTGTGAAATTGTACTTCACAAATATGCAAAAAATCGTGTTGCTCTTAAGTGTCCCTTTAAATTAAGGTAAGGTTGAAGAGGCTGTTGCAGCTCTTAAAATGATGTGCTCCACAGCTACCTCTTATGTCTTCAACGTGATGTAATACTGTGATCTGCACTGCATGAACTTATTGCACTAAACGGTCACTGAACTTTCATGTGGTAGGCCCGGTCTGTTCAGCATTTGTATGTTGTGTGTGACAAAAGGACATGCTCATTTTTTTATTGCTTATTTCAAAATACCCCTAAAGGCCCTCGACAAGGGTATTGCATTAGTTGTTGACTGTAACAGTGAAAATATTCAAGCCATGACATGTAAATTTGTCAATCTTCACCAGAATCGACCATTGTGGCATAATGCACCGCAGGTTACAGCTCAGTTTACATTTGGCAAAAATAATGGCCATTTTATATGATTTTATATGTGCACTTGCTTGCACGATGAGGACAGAATTGAGTGGGAGAATCACCTTGAAGGAGACGACATAGGCTGTAGGATTCCAACAGCAAATGAGCGGCTTGAGCATCTTGGGGACCAGATGTAGGCGCAACTGCAGTGGACCCGCATCGGAATGTATCTTGTGCTCGGGCTGCATCAGGAGGATCAAAAGTCATAAGATATTTATTTACTTTCCAGGCAGGCTCTTTCTAAGAAAATTTCGAGTGGTGGACATTTGAGGAGCGGCAGGTGATTGGGGGAGAGGGGTGTGTTTCACGCTCCGTAGAGGTAACAAACATTAGACACGTCGGAAATCTCGGGCGACGAAACTTCACGGCATGAGATTTCCTGACTTTCTACACATTACACCCTCACTGTAGGTCAGGAGTGGCATTATTTGAAACCACGACTGCGGCCATGTTAATTACCTTTCAGCCTTGAGCCAGTGCTCTCGCCTGCCCATCTGTTAGCGGCTGCAGCAATCTTCATAAGTCAGTTTCACAGCAAGGCAATCGTGCATTCTCCAAAGCACAGTTAGATTTGGAAGGGGCCACTGCCGCGGAATAACTGTTATGCACACCAGTACACAGCATGTGCTGCCCGTAAATAATAATAGACCCGCAGTGGATCCCCAATGCAATCTACATAGAGCGTAATATTTTTGATGCCTGCACTGTAGGTGCTTGTGATATTGAATTTCGGGTATCAAATTAATCCACAACTTCCCAATAGTCTGTCATAGACCGTGAGTGGTATTGTAACCTAAAACACCAAAGCTTGATTTTGAAGAGCACTTTAACTGTGTAAGGAAACTATAGGGAAGACCAAGGCATGGTTGGGCTATACAAGCTGCCAATATGCAATTTATTTCCACATAACCCGGCCACAAAAAGCACATCTACTGATGTGGCGAAACAAACAAAATCTCCAATCTTTCTAACCATGTTTTCTGGTGGCACATAGAAGTCTGATACAGCAGCAGCCAAGTACAACAGAGCACGGCTTCCCAACGGACGCAGAGCAACAGCGCAGGCTTTCAGCAAGAACAGGTAGTCCGTCAGCGAGGTGAAGGAGATCTGCAGGAGGCGCGGCCTACCAGCACCCTCCGCCATGGCCCTCTGGTAACCTTCGAGCACGGGCTGTACCTTTGGAACTGCATCCGCACACACTGCACATAACAAGGATGGCACTTATACCCTCACCCTGCGAGCCCAGACTGTAGTCAGACAGTACTCCTCAACCCTGGTAACAGTAACAAAAGGAATCGTCCGCCTTTTTCATGATGCCCAGTGCATGTGCCCTTTCCCTAGCAGAAAACTTGTGAAATGTCTCTTAATCTCGGAGACTCAGCTTCTGGCAATACCAGTTGTCCCGGCCACTACGACCTCACAAAAATGGCTCACGGCAGCACTGGAAAATGACAGGCAGATCGACAAGCACCTGATTTTGGCCGTAGCCACTCGGAAATCCACACAGATTGCTTGGAAAGGGAAGCTTGTGGATGAAAAAATAAAAAAATCCCAGTTTGAGGATTGAACCAGGGACGAATGCCTTTCTAGGAGAGTGGAGGGGGTGTTGCTCTCCTAATTGCACTAAGCAGAACACTAGCGTTGACAGCACCTCAAAACGCATGAACAAAGAAATATTCTGTGTTCATGTGGCCAGAAGGCAGTCTCCGCTTTAAAAATGAGCCAGACAAAAAGCAGATGCAAAAAGAACAAGAAAGGAAAAGTAAGAAAGTCGGTGACCATGAAGGCCGAGGAAGGGGACAATGAGGAAAAGAAGCACCCAAGCGTGGCAATGTTTACACGAGCAAAAATGAAACAGCCACCAAGGTCTGAAAGCTAGGAAAAAGTGCATTTCCACATAATACAGCTTTGTTATAAAGAGAACCCACAGTTTTGTAAAACTACTCAAGTGGCAATAAAGGGCTGCTGTGAAACTACAGACGTGACGTGCAGAGAGAAAAAGATCACTCTGTTAAACGTAAGGTAAACCTTGAGAACATTATAATACATCGGCGTGAAGAAATGCTTTCCTTAGTGTCTAGAGCACCAGTGTTCATAACATTGCATTTGAAAGTAAGTGTTAAACTCAACCTAGTGTGGAAAAGAGATTTCCAGTTCGGTCATGTTTTTCAATTTCTTCAAAATCGTCTGCTTTATTAAAAACTGCAAGAGTCATACGTACAACCCCATATTTCTTTAAAATGACACAATTTTGTAAATTTGTCTCGCAAGCCCATGAGGCACTAAACTGATGCATTAAGCACAGCTTTACTATGTCGAACCGATTCGTATTGTAAGTCGACTGTAAGCATTGTAAGAGTTTCAGAAATACAGTATTGCTACGTTCATATCGGAACTGCAATATATGTATATATAATTTTTCATTTATAGCAACATTTGTAGGTAGGTGTAAGCACAATAAAGTTTTGCGCTCACCCTGAATGCAGCTGTCATTGCCAGATGCAAACTGGAGGTAGCTGAGCAGTTCACCAGGCTTGAAGCGTCTAACAAACGGCTGCAGGCTTGTTGATCGGAACAGAAACAGCACAGCGTAGCCTTGATCCAGAAAGTACCTTGAAGTTTGATTTGGTCAAGGCAGATATCTTCTTGCCAAAAATTATGCACCCAAGGGTACACTTTACTCAACTATCCAGCTATTGCAAGTTTATGATACATTTAGAAGCATAAATGAATACGTTAGCATACAGAACAAAGAGTAGCAAGTGAAACAGTTCTCGTGCTTCATAGCATCCCATAACTGCCATTCAGCTTGTGCACTTGATCCAATAACATAACTGAACATTGTTTACTTTATTTTATATAAATGCAGAGTGTTACCATCTTGAGAACACTACTGTTCATTATTTTTCTTTAAGAAAAGGTAGCATATGTTCTGCTTCAACAAAAATATGCATGACTTAAATCATACTTTTTCAGTGTCGTACAAGCATTGCATATCTGTGGCGTTGTGTCTACAAGTACACTCCCCAGTTAGGGGATTACATGTTGCTACTATTCTCTCGTGGAAAAAAAAAAAACGTATGTGCAGCAACCACAGAAAAAGAAAGGATACTCGGCTGATGCAGAGCCTCTGGTCCCAGCGCTAAAATTGTCAACAAATCGTACAGTGTTGTGTTCGAGGGGCACAGCTGTTCCTCCAGACTGCCGGAAAATGCGAAAGGTCGGCAGGGCAAAATAGGTAATCAAAAAGCACAGTATGAAAAGGAACAAATTAATGAGATGCACGTCGATGCTGTTTGGACAAGACAGAGGTGCCAAAAACTTAGCAAGTAGCAATAGTACACGAAATCTATACTTCACTATGCAACTATACTTCGACTGAACTGCTGCGTGAACCTGCATGTTTGCAGTAGATTAATGAAATGTGGGCTGAGTTTGAGACCTTGCATCTCTTAGCGCCTTGAGTTTGTATTTTTGCTCTAGTCTGGTGCCGTAGTCATTGCATAACCTTTATGTTTGTATTACTTAAGATGCAATATCCAAGATGCCTGTTGCTGCTGCCACTTGTTCATGCGCTCTCACATTCGCGCATATGTAACCAAGCAAGCTAATATATATCTACCTCTAAAACAGCCTCGAATAGTGGTCATTGCTCACCGACATTAACAAAAACGTAATGAAGCTTCATCAGTAAATCAAGCAGCTGAAAATTTGTATGTACATATGAATGATGCCCTGTCGCAAAGAATTCAGAGTCGATTAGGAATGCCGGATTATGTTGAAGCATCGATTGAGACGGTAACTTTCTTATGGCGATTATCATATGCTACAGCAACCAATGCACGGTACTAGTTAAGTGAGTAATGCCTCGGCATCTTTGCAGAGCTGGCGTAATATTCGTGACTCGCAGGCGAAGTTGTGCTCGAGCAGGATGATAAGAGACTTTTTTCTACCGCAGAAATGAACACTTGATTATGTGCACTTAGTACGATGCGCTGACAAGAAACGTGACGGAAAACACGGCAGATTCGACCACTAGTTTGCACTACGTGTAAAAGATGCTACGCCGGAACAAACGTGTGACAGGAGCTTTTAAAAGATAAGAAAAATGTGGTTGCACACACGTTAAAAGCGTCGACGGGAAATCGGCGGCGGGTCGATGCACCGCTCATCGTTTCAATGCGGACCTATGAATATCCGCAAGTGCACATGTACTCTATGTGTTACACCTACCGTGATCAGCACAACACGCTCGTTGGTGTCCGAAAACAAGGAACAGAACTCATCGATGCGTCTTTTCTGATCGTCGTAATCTGCCGGTGGCTTGGTCGCGCGAAAAAAGGCGTCCCACTGCTCGGTCTCGTTCGATGCCATACTCGCTCGCAGTCCCCAAGCGCGGCCGTAGAAGAGCGTGCGCCCAACGAGGCGCAGCTGCGGTGAAATGCGCTTTTTCCCTGTCGCACACGCTTCGTCGTCGCACGTCGCCGTTCGCGGTCCGACGTCTGAATCACGGCCGACTTCCTCTTCATGTCGTCATATTACGATTTTGCTGTCCGGCGCTTCGGCCAGCTGATTCGCCGCTCGGCGCGGTGGGTCAATCGAAGACTGCAGTGACACACTGCTTGTCGTTTGCACGGCGCACACACAGAGAGAGATCGCTCCGTGGGTCGCTGCGCTTTTCCCTTTTTTTTTTCTTCTTTTTCCGATAATATCGCGGGCGAGCTCCAAGGGGGTCACACTTATCGAAACGCGCTGTTTACACAGTTTGTGAACAAGGAAGCGGATCTCGCTAGGGGAGGCAGCTCAGTAGAAACAAGGCCGCGGCGACATACGTTCTCTTGGAGCAACTGTAAGTGCTGTTTCAAGGACCAGTCATCGTAGGGGCTACCCCTGGCTCTCTCACCAAGACTTTACAGAAATTACGAGTGCGAAAGGCGACTGGTAACCGAAGTCCATACAAACTCTGCAACCGAAACCAAGCGCAGACAACAAAAAGCTACATGCGGCTACGGATTGGCTTGTCTGCACTTCTAAACGCGTCTGAAAGCAACCTTAGTGGCCAGCATTTATAGAACGCCTGCTTGCTTTCAAGGAAGGTGGCTAGTTACAAGTAACATTAGTTACAAGTTTCAACCTGCTGGTAGGATTATCCACAGCATCTCTTGGCTTAGATGAGATTCCGTTTCTGGTTTTCTGGGTGTTATGCGAAGACTATTTTTGCCTTATTGTTTTGTAATGACCCGACACAGGAGGAATAATTTGATGTTTTATTGGAACGACACAGTGAAATAAGTGTAGCTTTGGCGTGGTGATTGTCGTCATGAAACTTGCTCATGCTGATTAATTGAGCCATGTGCGAGTAGCTGAATAGGACCTTTTTAATTGATGTTGAACAAGGGTTCACAGCATTTTAAAGATATCTGCGGTTGCATATCGAAAGATGCACGCCGCCGCACGACACTGGAGGAGCTCTGGGCAACTGGGGCAATTTCTTTTGCTCGGTTCCATCATCGTTCACTACCGGCTGATCCAGCTGATAACGGGGGTGAAGTACTGCTGTGGCCAACTAAGTGCGGAAATCAATAGCATAGAAAAACAGCGGTCGTTTTTCATTACCCGGCCTTCCTTAAGATTACGTTCGTCAGTTCGAAACGGCTCTTCATAATATGTCGAATGCGTCGTGGTCGGATGGTGTGGTGGACACTCTGGCAAGTGACTGAACGCTGGCGAAGAAAACTGGCTTGTGTGCAGCCCACCAGAAGACGGCAATGGTGAGTTGCGGAACTTGCGGATGCTATCTCAGGCCTTTCTCATGCAAAGTGATCATTTGGATTCGAGGAAGCGTGGCTGTAGTATATGCATGGTCACGTGTACTCGTTCTTTCCTCAACAAGTTACCCCAGTAGTAGGTGTTCTTTCGCGAAGTATGTAACGCATGGAAAAACCATGTTAAAGTATAGTTTGAGCACTGATCTCACGTGGGGTGAAGGTAAGGTCTTTAAGCGAAGGTTCGTCAATATCTTGTAAATGTATGGGGCTCACTTCACGCCCCCGTCCCCGAGTCACAGCTCCCCCCCATATTACGGTGATGTATAAGGCTGACTTTTCGCCCCCCCCCCTCGAAGGTGCATATAGGGTGGGTGCTCTTTTCCTGCCGCCCCCGCTAGTGCGCACGCCTATGCTGGTTGTACTCTCATGTTATGTTAACAAAGACTTGCTTGCGGCAGGGGAGGGGGGTTCGCCACGGGGGTCTTCAGACTTTGTTTTAAATACGAATGCATTTCTTAGTAGGGCTATGTCAGGCATCCGGCGTTGTCCGTGGCACCGTTCTCACTCTCTCTCTCATAGCAACAGCTGCGGGCGCGCGCGCTTATCATCGCCGCTAGCAACCGGAGCATATGGTGTGGGAGAGTGTAGAAGAGGGTAGGTGCAGTGCTTTGTCGCTCCTTCTCTCGTTGTTCGCTCTCTCTCCTCTTTGCGCCCCATTTTCCCGTCCGCTCGCGTCTCACTCTCGACCGTTCGCTGGCTGGGCGCCTCTTAAGAACATGCGGAAATGTGTGCTGAGTGCTCGAGATGACGCTGTGAAAAGCCAACGCCGAGCCGAGAACGCTGTTTGTTTTGTTCAAATCATGGTATATTAGGGGCGAAGCTCCTTATAGCGGCACCCGTTCGTCCCTCGTAGTCGTAGTAGTACTCGTAGTGCGTAACCAGTCTTACATTTTGACCTCCAAGGGGGTGCCGGCGAGAGATTTCTTCTTTGCGTTGTTGAACAATAAAACAAAAAATGGCAGCATATCCACGGAGTGAATGATGGGGAGTGGGGCGAAGCATTCGTCCGTCCATTCGTTCTTGCTTCCTGCCGTTCCTGCGTACGTCTGTGTAACCATCCATGCGTCCATCCACCCGTCCGTGCGTGCGTCTGTTCGTGCGTCTGTCCCTGCGTTCGTCCATGCATCCGCGCCTGCGTCCGTTCATGCGTCCATCCATGCATCTGTCTGTGTGTCCGTTCGTCCATCTATTCAACACTCCAAATCCCACCATCTCGCATATTTTTATCATATATTCCCCATATAGAAGCACCGCCATTCAGTGGACATTCCAAGGACTAAACGAAAGGTGGCACACGCACACTTTCTTACGGCTTGCGCTTCGGGTCTACTTCCCACCTTCAACCACCTTGAGTTCATGGTATATACTAGTTCACTGTATTCATGGCACTGCGGCCGAACGCTCGCTAAACCTTTCGAAAACCAAGGAGGTTACGCCCAGCGAGTATGACGTAGTAGCAAACTTTTTCAGTCAGATAGTGCTCAATGTACATGCCAATGGCTGCTAATGGGAAATGAGAGGCGGAGAAATCGGCTTTTACTTTCTTACGGCTCGCGCGTCGTATCTACTTCCCATTTTTAACCACCTCGAGTTCATTCATGGTATATACAAGTTCATTGTATTCATGGCACTGCGGCCCAACGCTCGCTAAACCTTTCTAAAACCAAGGAGGTTACACCCAGCGAGTATAACGCAGCAACCCTTTCTTGTCAGATAGTGCTCAATGTACATGCCAATAGGTGCTAATGGGGATCGCAGCGTGCGCGTTACCTAAAGGCCGAATGCTCCTGTCTCTCATTCCCCCTTAGCAGCCATTAAAATGTGCATTGAGCACTATCTTTTATTGTTCAACAGCGCACAGAAGAAATCTCTCACCGGAACCACCTTGGAGGTCAAAATCGTAAGGACCGCTATTTCGGGTATGTGCCACTGGGGGTTACGTACTACGAGGGACGCACAAGCCACGCCATAAGGATCTTCGCCCCTAAAATTCGCAGCGTGCGCGTTAACTAAAAGCCGAATTCTCCTGTCTCTCATTCCCCCTTAGCAGCCATTGGCATGTACATTGAGCACTATTTGACAAGAAAGGGTTGCTATGTTATACTCGCTGGGCATAACCTTCTTGGTTTTAGAAAGCTTTAGCGAGCGTTGGGTCGCAGTGCCATGAATACAGTGAACTAGTATATACCATGAACTCGAGGTGTTTAAAGGTGGGAAGCAGACATGAAGCGCAAGCCGTAAGAAGGTGTGCGTGTGCCACCTCTTGTTTAGTCCTTGGAATGTCCACTGGATGGTGGTGCATATGCGGAATATATGATGAAAAGATGCGAGATGGTGGTACTTGGAGTGTTGAATAGAAGGACGAACGGACACACAGACAGATGCATGGGCGGACTCACGAATGGCTGCACCGACGGATGGACGCATGGACGGACGCAGGGGTGGATTCATGGACGAACGCAAGGACGGACGCACAGATGGACGTGCGGACGCACGAACAGACGTACGCACGGACAGGTGAATGGACGCACGGATGGCCACACAGACGGACGCAAGGATGGACGGAAGCAAGAACGAATGGACGGACGGATGCTTCACCCCACTCTCCATCATTCACTCCGTGGATATGCTGCCATTTTTTAAACCGTGCACGCTAGCTAGAACGGCATATCGCGTTTCTCGCGTCAGAAAAAACGCCACGTGCGGCAAGCGGCGCTATTGGCTGCATGGTGTAATAAAGATGGATTGATATGTGAGGTTTGACGTCCCAAAACCACCATATGATTATGCGAGACGCCGTAGTGGAGGGCTCCGGAAATGTCGACCACCTGGGATTCTTTAACGTGCACCAAAATCTGAGCACACGGACCTACATTTCCGCCTCCATCGGTAAAATGCAGCCGCCGCAGCCGGGATTCGATCCCGTGTCCTGCAGGTCAGCAGCCAAGTACCTTATCCACTAGACCTTCGCTGCGGGGCTATTGTAAGAAAAAAAGAGAAAACATTATTCTTCTAACGCTGGCTCTTACGTGCGAAACGCCGTTATGGACGCTACGCAATGCATTCGCATTTCTTCACGACTCCCTTCGGTGAAAGGGGGGGGGGGGGTATTTTCGTGAATGTTCGGCAACACCAGTTGATAGTTCTTACATATGTATTCTAAAGTAACTTCGTCAAACAATCTCCTGTAGTTAGTGAGAGATGCCGCGTGCGTTTATCTCTGCATATATCAAAGAGATCGACCTTGTGCTCACAATGTGGGTGCATGGACATCTCGCACTATGCGTATATGTAGTTGCATATTGTGTGCGTTTCAGCTGAGCTTGCTTGCCAGTGGTAAAGTGTGCAAATACTGAAAGCAAGCAAACTTGTTAACTGAAGAAAACAAAAAGATTGGTCGAGTTGGTTAGATTTCATGATAAATAGCTTTGAATTTTGCGGTGGATAAATAATTGAATTATTGGTCCTTATGCTCGAATTAGAAGAAATGGACATGGACCGGGCACGTAGCGCGTTGGCATGATAACCGCTGGTCTTCAGGAGTAACTGCCTGGATTCCAAGTGAGACAGACGAGTGAGAGGGAGACAGAAAGTCGGGTGGGCAGATGAGATTAAAATGTCTGCAGGTATAACGTGGCCTCACAATGTACAGGACCGGGTTGATCTTTTTGCGGAACATACGTGAGAGAGGCCCTTGCCTTGCAGTGAGCGCAGTCAGGCTGATGATGATGATGACCTTCGAAAACGATTATTTGATATTTATTCGCGCTGTATAGCGGAGAGCTTGTAGCATATGCGAATGCTTTTGCTTTCTGCCCCGCATGAAATGCATTCACAGCGGGCGAGATCGAACGTACAACCACGAACGCGACAGCGGAACGCAGTGGCCTACAAATATGCCTGAGAAAAAAAAAAGAAACAAGTGATTAAGACTGAAGAGCAGGAAGGTTAACCAGATTAATTGTCCATATGGCTACTCTGAGTTGTATGGAATGGTATGGACTAAGTTCGACAGTTAGTTAATAATTCTTCTTTTTACTTCTACAGCTACCACAATATGACCACAAGGGTTTGCCTAACCATTGATCATGGACGTTAGTCTTTCGAATGGCGACGTGTAAATAAGCGTCAACGTTGTTGCGTTCACGTTAAACTGTGATATAGCTGTCAAATATAAAAAAGACACCTGAATGTTCTCTTATATCAGTGTACAATGAACATTCAACGTGAGGACAACTTTTACTTTAATGCTATGACAGAGGGATCAAATGTTTTTTTTTCTTTTTTAAATAGCCGCTTCACTCAGCCTTAGCTTCGGGTAAATTCCAGAACGATTGTTAAATGCATTTTTATTTAGAAACGAGGAACAAATTCTACTAAGGTCTTGTTTCATGCTCCTCGAAGCGCAGGATTCGGCAACTCATAATGACAACAAATAGGGCTGATCACTACAACTGACTGCGCTCGCGTTGGTGCCACGATACTGTAGCGATGCATTTTCCCATTGCCGCGGGCGTGGTAGCTTAGTGGTCATGTTAGTGCCCTGCTGGGCTCGAGGACGCGAGTGTCACTGTATACTGGCCGCACGACGGAATTGTGATCGGGGCAAAATGCAAGATCACCCGTGCACACTACGGCATGCCTTACAGTTGTACTTTAGTTTTGGCTCGCAAAAACCTAGAATTTCTTCTAACAACGAAGCTATTTAAGCTAGTCGTAAGTTGTGTTGCCTGTCAGAGAACTACCGTAGTCATAAACGTTTTTAGAAGGCGTAATCATGTCGCTTTACCAAAGGTTAAGGCGCAGGCCAAGAAATTGTAGTGTAGCAGGTTGTAAAAAATCAGTAAACGGGGATTGTGTCGAAACGGCGTTTCGACAAGTGGATTTGTCTTCTTCCTGGATAGAAGAAATCATTGAAAAGTTAAGGAAAAGTATTAGTGATGGAAAACGACGTTAGCTTCAAGTTTTTCAGTGCTAAAACACACTAACCAGATGTGCACACATGACAGAAGTCAGTCGCGTAGTTTCTTCAAGTGAAGCTTGCCTGTTTACCGGTCAATTATCTCTGCTCGATGAGGAACATGGATCAACTAATTGAATACATTAAGGACCACCTCCATGACAGTTACCAAGTATTTGCAGTTGATATAAAGGACTTATTTTATTCGATTTCTCAAACGCAGCGATTTCTCAAACACAACTTTGGGAGCAGCCAGTGCTCTGTCGGCTGCCATTGAGTATGCTACAGATGACGGCGCCGCGCGCTTTCAAAATGAAGCTTCAATCTCAAAGGGTCATTTTTAATAACTTTTATTGTTTTACTTATGTTCGACGTTTATCTGTAGTGACAACGCGTTATATACTTGCAAAAGAGGACGTGTTTATCGGTTCGTGTATAGCACCCATTCTTAGCGATTTATTTTTATCTGGTCTTAGCATTGCCTTGTCTACAAAGTTAAAAACGCCAAAGCGTGCAAAGCATTTCGCTTTGTTGATAGCTTCCTGTTTTTAACTGACTGTGCTCTTGTTGACATAGTTGCGAAGGATGTTTTGCACCCCTTGAAGTCACTTACGAAATCTCCCAAGGAGATCCTATCCGTTTTTTTTTTTTTTGAACATCCGCTTGTTTTTTTCTTAGAAAAGCACACATGCTTATGGATATGAGCCACGAGCAAATGCCCCTTCTTTCTTTTGTCTGGGCGCACTCAAAGCTCATTATGAGAGGCATTGCTAACTTGTGTTTTAAAAATGCTCTCACCCAATCATGTCATCGCGAAATGTCGTCCAGTTTCGAGACTCAAAGCAAGCGTCTCACCCGGAAGCAAGGTATCCAATTCTGTTACAGATCTCTTGCCGAACGCATTCTGAAAGATTCGCGCAAAGAAAACAGCCAAGAAAATTTGGAGTGTTCCCGCTTTAGGGTAGGTGTGATTCCGTATATACACATTGTTTTCCACAACTTGAAGTAGGAGGCTCAGCGGGTTAACGTATGCGTTGACTTACCCAGATAATGTTGCTAACTGAGCCTGCGATAAGAAACGCCTTGTCAGATTTGTTAATTGGGAGTGTTGTGTGGTCTACAAGTCTTCATTATCACGCGGGAAGTACTGCATGGGACAGACTTAGTGAAGCTTCAGCGGGCAGACTAACAGCGAAGCTTCAACTGCTTCGCTCTTGAATGAAATTACAGGGAAGCACTATATGGGTGTCTGAATGATAGACTACGTGAAAAGAACTACAGCACGAGAAATAGACTTTCAGCGGGAGAGTTTTTTGCAGCGGACGCCTTCCTGTGCAATACCGCGTACTTCGCATGGCCTACGTCTTTACTGATTAACTGATAAACGCCAGTGGTTTATGACATTAGAAATTCCTATTTTAATTGTGCAATAAGTAATGCCACTTGACATACCTATGGACACGTCAAAGCTGCTCCACTTGTAGCGAGTCGTTAACTAGGCGCATAAAAATATTACGTGCTGGTTTGCGTTTTTGAATTAGCGTGCCATGATAACAAAAAGTAAGCAGCAATCAACTTTAAAAAGTGCAAATTTGCGCTGAATTGTTTGTGTTCAACGTCCCCAAATCAAGATATGATTATCAGAGATGCTGACCGTAGTGAAGGGCTCCAGAAATTAGGACCACCCGGGGTTCTGCACCTCAATATGAGTACGTGGATCTCAACCATTTTCGCCTTCGCCGAAACTGTGACCACCCCGGCCTGGATTCGGTCCCGCCATCTTTGGATCAGCAGTCGTACACTGTAACCAGTAGACAAGCTTCGCCACGGTGATATTCGGCTGCTGACCCGCAGGTCGCGGCATCGAATCCCTGCTGCGGCGGCTGCATCTTCGATGGAGGCGAAAATGCTGTAGGCCCATGTGCTCAGATTTGGGGGGGGGGGGGGCACGTTATAAGAACCCTAGGTGACTGAAATCTCTGGAGCCCTCCACTATGGTGCCTCTCATAATCATGATGGTTTGGGGACGCTAAACCCCACACATCGATCAATTATAACAAGTAGAAAACCATTGCAAATGCATATTCGGCTTCGTACAATTCGCTGCCCAAAACTAAGATTTGGTAATCTTCTTCCCAGCTTTTGTATGGAATAATGCTGCACTTTTTTTTGGTATCACTGTTGAGTGCTCCTGATTTGTGCTAATTGAATTCGCAGCAGTGTGAGTTTAAAGTTGAATTTGCATGCTTGGCATGAACAACAGCGTTAGCAATTTTTGTATGAGCACGGGATTCATGCTCGTTTGCATAACAAAAAGTCAAGGGTTTTCGGTGACTTTTAAGGCTATGCGCGTTAATTTTCAAGGACCACATTGTGAGAAACCCTGTTACCACTTGTTCAGGGGATGATCGAGGCCTGAAATAACTAGAATCAATCGAAGACCGGTAACTGTAACGAAAAACGGTGCTGGAACAAACGTCAAAAACACAGCTTGATTGACATTTTCTTTCTATAGAAAATTTTCAATTATAGTCTCTTAAGTTTCTTAGATTTGCTCGATATAATCTTTTACAATATTTCACAAGACGCAAAGTTTTATTCAGATGGGAAAAACGAAGGAACGGCCATTATGCACGCCTTATTGACGAGTTTTGATGTCAATATTCGCTATATCTTTCCGTTTGTTCTTGGCCGTCTTTGCTGTTCGACTTGATAATACATACCAGATGTCTCCGCTTTTTCTGCTTATGAGTCTGCTGTAGGTGTTAACTCCCAAACAACGGCTGATAGTTTCTTTCTCGTAATCATTTTGATGTCCTCCTCAATGCAACATTTCTTTTTGTTTGTCATCCTCCAGACCTTTTTGGTTTCTCAAAATGCATGGTGTTGGTTCCTCGTAGAGCTGATGTTCTCAATTCTTTATTGAAGGGCACATTACATGTGCCACCTGTTACATTTACGGAGAATGCACTGTGAAAAGAACGACACTGTTTATTTAAAAAAAAACACAGAAAATTTAAGGATTTTCAAGGGTTTTAAGGACCTGCACGAACCCTGCAGCAATTAGTACCATTTTCGTGTATCTGCTTTGTCATTATTCCTGTGGGGTTTTCTTCCCCCTTATCTCTGAAATTATAGCAATAAATCCAACATGCTTTGCCGAGGTGCTACGCTCATGCGGGGTAAAGGCGTTTAGCAAAGTTCAGACTACTGCGTATATATAAAAACTTACGGTTGGGATTAGTTAAAGTAGAGGTTCTAAAGCACTTTGCATATACCGACAACAGCGTAGGTAGTTAACACCTTGTAAGGAAACAACACGAATGAAACACGATAAATACTGGTTGCACACGCTAGAACTTTATTTGCACATGGAATGTATATGGTTAATACATTAAGTCAATGTGATGCGTAACACTTGAGAACAAAAAATGTTCTCGGTATAAAATGTGGCATGACAGATAGCGACTGCAATATGTATAATCGTTGCAGTGATGAATTTAAGTTATTTAAGTTAAAACTCAATACGTGAACTATGTACACAGATGACTGAAAACAATATGGCACAACTCACGGACCCGTTGACTATTCTAACCATCAAACAATGCGTCCAGGGCTTCCATACAAATATGAACGGTGTCAATATTTAGCATACGTTAATGCTATTGTCTTGTTTGTGTTTTCGAAAGCTCTATAGTGTTGAGTCATTTATGGAAATCATAACCGACATAACGACGCCCACGACAAGCGCCTGTAACGAACGCGGTCAATATTGGCAGTGTACGTAATACTCGCATGCAGATAACTTAGCAGTCTGGTCAAAGAGTAGTACATCAGTGTGACAAAAAAAAAAAACACACACACGCGTCATACAAGTTACATCTCTTACGGCATGCAAGTATTTGAGGTATATCGCTCTAAAGCACAAGATTACCACGTCTGGTGAGCATCAAACAGTACCACATGAAGCCTGACAAATTGTCAAGCTTGTCAAAATATCACAGCGAAATGCACAAGCGGCTAGAGCTCCTGCATTTGCGCGCACATGTCCTCCCGTCGAAGTCGATTTTCACACTAAACACGGTTATCGATCAGAAGCAAAGGATGGCACTTGTTACATATACGGCAGAAGCAAACGCTGAACATTAAACAGCTACCAATAGGCAAGAGTCGAAAAATGTCGCACCCATGTCCCGAGCGGGAAGATGTCAAAATATAAAGGTGCAGTGCCAATCGCTGAGGCATGTAGTCGTCATTCGTAACCTTCGAGGTAGTCGCGAGGTTACACTACCGGTGAGGTTGTGTGGACGGCCGCACGTGTGTGGTCATCCATGTGGTGAAGCAAAATTGCGAGGGCATCGCAGCGTGCCCTTCAACACTTTTGTAGTGATGGTCCAACCACGATGATACACTAATGACACGTTGCAAGTTCCACAGGACGCAAGACCATTCTCGAGCAGAAATATGTGCGAGTAAGTAAAGGGAGTCCACACGTGCAACGCACGTCGCCAACTCTATATAAGAGAGCTATCGAGATCTACGTCGCATTTGCGAACACACGAGCCAGTTGTGGGCGCTGAGCATTCGCAGTTCGGGTAGCTTTCTAAAGTGCGTTCCATTAGCGCCATAGCGTCGGCTCTAAGCTGAGGGTGTTGCGACAACTGAAGTGAAGGCGAGCCATTCACAACAATAAGTCGCTCTTCGCGTAAAAATCAAGATTTCGCTTGCGGGAGAAAATTGCCGTTTTCGTAATAAAGAGTATGTTTCATAACCATGGTTTCCTACATGTAATGTCTACACTAAAGAACCTCGCTGTAAATGCTGCACATCAAAAAAAAAAAAAAAAGTTGGCGTTCAGTGGCGTTGCAGCCGCATTTTACGCATGCGCTGTAGCAAGCACCTTTGTTGCGCTATAGATGCTCCTAAAATGCCGCTAGATGTAGCTAATTCCGGGAAGAAATGCCGAAGATGCTAGGGGCTGGCTACAGCTCACGAACGGCCAAACGCATCATGTGAACGGTCTCGCGTTATGGAGTGCTAATTTAGAGTGATGAGTATTCGGTGACTAGAACAGTTTCAGGCGTGGCAAGTCAGACCCACTGCGATCGTTCAGCGCTCCCGATTGGCTCGCGTGTTTGCAAACGCGGCATAGACCCGTACAATGCTCTGAGCAATGTTGCGCGACGTGATCGGTTGTGCTCGTTTCAGGAACTAGACGTGCGTTCGCCAGGCAAAGAGGAACAAAAAGAAAGGGAGGCCTTGACGTCCGCGAAGGCGGCAGCAACCGGCGGCGACAGCGCCACGTTGCGACGTCCGTGCTTCTCCCTGTCGATTATTTCGATGGCGCTCGAGAAGGACACGTGCTTCTTCAAGCTGCTGCCCATTGTCTCCAGGCATGAATCGCTGGCGCTCGTCCGCAGCCTCAAGACACTGGACCGAAGATCTGGGCTGGCGCCTTCGCTGTGGCAGCTGTCGAAGGTACCCATGCCCTTGTTGGTATCCGAAGCTGGAATGGGCGTGCTGGTACTGGGCAGCGGACAGGGAAGGCTCTGTAGAATGCCGCTGTCGTCGCTCCTGTCCCAAGACGGCGGATAAAGTGTCGGCGTGCAGACGCAGATGTTGGAGCCGATGCGAAGGTGGCAGTGGCCGTTGCCGCTGCAGCACTTGGAACTGTGAAGCATGGTGACGCTGCCAGATTTGCGGAGGATTCCTCGGGGTGCGGCCGTGGCACTGCCTTCCGTGACGACTTCCTCGGCCGCGGAATTGTACGCACTGTCGCTGTTTCTTGCAAAGAGAGAAAGAAAATCGAAGAGGAAAATGTTAGAGATGTCATCCCCGAAGAAAGTCGTCGACATCGTCTAGCTGTGAGAACAAGGTCAAGTTATATGGTCACGTGCTGAAAACCCTGTGGAACAAACGAGCGACGTAAAAAGTGGTGCCTAACCGACACGTAATGAATACGTCAAATCGATCTCTTATGAGGAGGTTGTGTCGATACCAAATCACTTTCATTTACAATAAGTCATCTGTAAAGATGCAGCTGGGCTTCGTAGCCACACTGGATATTCAAGAACGAACACCTGTACCACCTACCTAGAGCGTGACGCGCGGAATACTTGCGAGCTTTGTTCAATGTGGAGCTATTACCCTAAACGTGGCACCCGATAAATCCATTGACGAAAAGTTTATGCTGAAATAATGGCAGCGCAGGCTAAGGGGACGTAAAAGGAGGAGACAAACGAGCGGAGACTGAAACTTGGTTCATTCGCCGAAGGTAATGTATACCAGAAAAACAGAAAAATCTTGTTTCTGGATGACATGATCACGGATCACGGTGGAACCTTCCCTCTTGTATTTTCTTTTCCTTTCGCGTTTTTCTGGTATATATTGCCTTCGGTGAATGAACAAAGTTTGTCTGCTCTCTCATTTGTTTACTTTTGCGTTACGTTAGTTTGTGCTGCCAATACTTCAGCGTGAATCTATACCAACTAGCTCGATTTTCAACCCTTCTGCTTTGGTTTCTAACTTCAGCGTTCAGTATTCCAGACAGATTGTGTAAAGATTATCGCATAGCAGGCTACACGTGCTTTTGTGTGTGCATGCATGTTGTACGGAGCCTACATATAGCGTCGTTAAAGCTATGCATTGAACTCAGTATCGACGTTGCCAGAAACGCATTCTTTGGAATCGCTATATTGTAACCCTGCCGAAAGAAGAAAATGCGTGTGGTTTGCATGCGAAAGTGCAAATTCGAAAAGAATAGTGCACAAACTTTATTCCGCTGAGTATTTTCATTAAGGCACAAAAACATACGAAGATTCATTTGTGACATAAAAGTGAATCACGCAACCCGAAATTAGCGTATAAAGTATACGTTGACATGCATGCGCAGGCCTAATCATGCGGCACGTTCGAGTCTCATCGCGCTCATATTCTTTTAGTGCGGGTGAGCAGATGCTCACCTTTGTCTAAAATTTTGTGTCGGTGAAACAGTTAATCGACCACATTGTTAACCACGCATGAAGACTCGTCTTTTTAACATAATCACCACAGACCGAACAGGCACTGCATGAATGTTACATGAAACCACGCAGACACACACAAAATGAAAATCGTATGCAGAAATCCCATATAAAGGCGCACACATTGTCACTGGCAGTCAAGAAAGTTCAAGCACAGTTTCGGGAACTGATCACGTGGTGCATTGATCACACCAATGGACGCGATGACGTTTTCAACTCGGGGCATTGCGGTCACTAGTGTACTTTGAAAGTCAGCGCGCTCACCATACTTCACACCTTGCACACAGCTAAAACAAGATCGCACCGTTCGGTTTTCCGACAGTCCCCACTGGGCATAAATTCAGAGCCGCGAAGACGTACGGTCCACCTACCCAGTCTCTTCAAAGACTTCATCGTGCAGTGCGAGCACTATGGGCGGTTTGGTCTCTGGTGTGTAGGCGCCTTCCGTGCCTCTGACGACGTCTTCGATTTCCTTCATGGTCAAACTAGTCTGAATGAACAGGTGCAAGCTCTTGTTGGAGAGGTAGAGCGGCTCTGTCAGAACCCTGCGTCAACAAGTGATACAAAAGATAGGATTCATGTCAGTTAACACACAAGAGAGGAAGCGTGGAGTGCTTAAAAAAAAGGAAACATGATTGTGGTCACGTCGTCCAATGGTTGGCGACAAGCAAGCGATATAGGCCCAAGTATGTATGGTGCCATGAAGACTAAAGAAACTCGCACACTCCCTTCCGCATTTGCCTAGTATGACTTCAAAGTGAAAGCCATCTTTATTCTTAGTCGGTTGTATTGTACAGGTAGAGCTCTTGACGCTTTCATGCTGATGCATCTGCCTAGACAGTCATACGCATTCCGTCAACCCTCGCTAAGTTTCGGCACTTAGTTTTAATCGTACTGTGCGTGTCTTTTTCTTTGGCCACTTCATCTACTTCCTGGCAACGCGAATAAGCCATGCGTTCTACCAATTAGCCCCCGTATAGCAGTTGTACTTCCAATCGTACCGTCTTGCCATTTTTGTGATACCTACTAAGCGAACCGCTGCCATTTTTCCATGACAGCATTAATGTGAAACTTAATCAAGGGAGCTGATATAGCAGCGGTTTGTAGAGTGCTCGAGGATTGCGAAGTTGTACCAAAAATTTGAAATGTAGGTAATGTGATGCGCATGGAGATGGCGTTTTCAGAGGGTCTGAGGTACAAACTTACTCTCGCAGGAAAGTCTCGAGTCCTGCACGTCGGTTTTCTGTAAACTTGTCGTCGAATCTTTTCAACAGTGTCTTCGATGGAAGGCGAGGCGGAGTCCTGGAGAAAGAAAATAACGTTAGTTGCAGGTAGCCATGTGTAACAGCAGAATGGCGTTTGTAGATATTGTAAGCCTGTGAGCATTCGAGCTCTAAGATTAGCTACACTAAAGCATCCCTGTGTTCTTTCACCATAATTGCAAAAACAGAAACAGAACGCCTGTGTTCGTATCACATAGGAGTGGTCAGGAGGGGGAGGAAGGGTATTCAACTCATCTCCCCGAAAATGTTCTATTTCGCGGTTATATATATATATATATATATATAATATAACCACTTTTGTTTCTTATTTACATTCTATTGATTCTAATACCCTCCCCTATACATTCCTTGGTATTACTGTCTGTTAGATCTCACTAACATTGTGTCAAAACACAGAAAAACGAGCCCTTAGGTATACACTTCTTTTCCTTCCTTCGATATATATATATATATATATATATATATATATATATATATGCGCACACAAAACACACATACGAATTTATATAAAGACTGTTTAAATCTGCCCCCTGCCATCCACTCGTTCCCCTCTCCCCCACCCAACAAAAAACAATTCTTACACCCAATTCGCATAAGAAGAATTTCTTGTAGTTCTCGCACATTCTTAAAGCGTAAAGTCACACACCATCATCTCGAATGTCACAAATAACGGTGCCCGAATCGCGTCAGGATAATTAGGTGTTAGATGCAGCTGTGCACTATATTACGTAAGAATAGACATGAATGATGCTGTGCACACGCTACAAAGAGCAATCTGGATGCATTCTGGCACCAAAAGACTGTCTTGAAGTAATTATAGTTCATCATCTTTTTCATCAACCTGACTACACTCACTGTAGAGCAAAGGCCTCTGACATGATCTACCAGTCAACTTGGTCTTGTTCCCAGGCTGGCTTTAATTGCTCGATTACAACATACGCGACCTTGCATAAAAGGGAGATGATCTTTCGTCTCCCACATGGCTAGGGTGACTAAAATACTATACAGGTTATTGACCTGCATATTTACACTGTACTGTATGCTAAAAAACGTGATTATTCCTTCACTAATCTCATCAGTCTTACGAAGTGAATTATAAGCGAAGTGTGACTGCTACATTCTTAGTTTGTTTGTGGGAATAGCTGCGTGACTATAGTATACGTGCCGTTTACGTTTCGTAATGTTATTGGCGAATGGGGCTAACGAGGAAGGCAGCACGCAAGTCGAGTTGGTTGTATTTTGTTTCGAAGGCGCCGCAGTACCCGCTGACGCCCTTTTGCGTCGTATTTAGTTTCTGGTCTCCACTCGTTGGAGGGCAGAGCTCTGAGGCGACGCGGTATATATGCCGCGTCGTGTTTGGTTGTTTAGGATAGGCCTGACAAGTCACCGATTTAATATGGATAGTAAGCCCGGCTAAAAACTAACGCGCACATAGCTCACCGGAGTTCGTATGTATGGTTTAAGCTCAAGAACACCGCGAGACACGAATGCTGAAGAGCTAGATAAAAGGCGAGCGATCTGTGGAGGCAAGTATTCGAAAACAAGTCTCGGACATACAAGGAAGGCTGCAATTCCTTGAGTAGGCTTTTCAGGTGAACGAACTCCGAGTACCTCCTTCGAACCGTCGAACGGGACATGGTGAAGCAGCTGTTGTTCGTCTGCAAAAATAACATCACAATTCATTGTTGGATTGACGTGACGTGTTCATCTTTTTACTTATGGCGCAGTTAAGTAATGTTTTTACAGCGGTTGGGCGAAATATCAGTTACTTTCGAGCTAGCAACATGACTGCTTACCTCAATAGAAATGTCATATGACGTGTAAACATCCCCTTTTACTTGGTGGACGATGGGGTTTCGCACGTTCACATCCAGGAAAGTCTGCAGAAAAAAAAAAAAACGTGGTGCATGAATCAGGTGTTCCGAATAACCACCGATGTTTGTTGCTGCAGCACGCGCAGAAGCATGTCAGAACAGGAAGGAAAATAAAGTTACGAAGAAAAAATTCATACAATCAAATCTTGACCAATCCCCCAGAGAAAGTATGAGCCATAGAAGATGCATCATTATCATCATCATCATCATTTACGGCAGCATCTCGCCATATATGTAAAATCAGGTGTATTTCATACATCTTCGCAGTCTGTTGCAAAATGGAAAAAAAGTTAAATTATATTTTAAAATAAAAAATACCTGGCAGGTCACTGCACTTATTTCGAATGCCAAAGAGTAATAGTAGAAGCACGTTAAACGACCGTGCTTAAATAAGAAACATTGGTGGCGTGTGGAAACAAACAACAAAAAGTTCCGTATAAGTGTTCACGAACATCCATTGTAGTGCAGAAAAGTGGCTTCAAAGTCGATATTTTATCCTTAACAAATTTAATTAGTAACTCGCCATGAAAGTCTAGCGTTGGGCTGATTAGCAGCAAGCAGGCGAAAGGCACATTCACCCGTAAGATTTAAGTAAATGTTAACCTGTAGTGATCAGAAATATTATGCAGTGCCTACTGTGTTTTTTTGCAAGCATATTTCGTCCTTTGTCACTCAAAACCCAAGAACGTACGCTCTTGTGCACCAAAACACGGAAGCAACGGCTTCCGTGTGATAAGAGATTATCAAACACCAGAGAAAGAAAAAAAAGATACGCAAAGTGTTTGCGTGGCAAGAAGCGAAAGGTGTTCAGCAAACCACGCGAATTATCGTATCTAGTAAAGTTATCAGGGTTCTGAGAGCGCACAATCGAGCGCGTCTGCTCGGAGCCACGGGGCAATGACGTCGAAGGGAGTTCCCAAATTCCCATCACGTCCGGCAAATTTTCATCACACTGATGATTAGCACATTGTCGCTTAATAGTGACAGTGTACAGGAGCTATGCACTGATCCTTTATCCGCTAGGCGGCAACACCGTCCTCGCGCCATTTTGAAGGTCCGTTCGTAGCGCCACCCCGATGTGCATGTGTGTGCGCAGGAGCGGTTTCCAGAGGTCGCTGTGGTCTTCCAAATAGCCGTACGAGACTTGGACAGAGTGCATGAAGAGAGTTGTTTGCACGTGCGGCGAGTGCACGGACCTCCGAATTAATGACCCCGCCGTTGGTGATAACTTGCCAATGACATCAAGTGCATACCCGCTATTGGTTTTCAAGACGTGGCTCTGCGTCGAATTGAAAAAGGGCGCGCATTTTTTACTCTCATTTATGCATGATGTCATTGGTAAGCGCCACCTTCTTTGAAAATGAAATGACAGAAAGCGCAACTGATACTCTGAACCGACAGTTTCAAGCTACGCTGCAGTCAAGCCCCGCTTTTCTGTCTCATCGCAGTGTGAGACCAACGTTTGTTATCGTGTGGCGTACGATAGTTAAGGTCTCTGAGTACGTGATAAACAGACGCGACATCACTAGATAGCTACAAAACTGTAGTGTTTGCGACGTAAATGAAATCAATGCTGCACTCTCATGAGAGTTCGTGCTGGCAATGGTGACGAGAGGCACGGTTGGCTAGCACACGGTGGCATCTGTTTCTGCAGGCCGACACTTGAATATGTGATGTAAAACAGTGGAAATAACTGTTACGAGAACAACTGAAAGTATAAGGTCTCTGCAAGTCTTTTACCAGTGGCTACATGCACAACACGCGCTTAGTAAAAGGAAATGTAACATTACATACCCTAAAGCCACTCGAGAGGCTCAACTATACAAGTTCACAACGTAAAAAAAAAATTATTACCGAGGTTTTATAAACGTGGCACCAACGATGAATAAAGTCGCTGTCATTTACTGTGGTCAAGGAAAACAATTGCGAAGTCGCGTTTTCCAGCAGGCACATCATTCTCTAGAAACCGAGAGTTTAGAATTGCTCCGCAAAAACGCCTGCGATGAGACGCAAGCACGTGTGGCAACTCAATCCGACCGGCCAGCTGGCGCTGCGGTTCTCTATGATCGTTTCACTGCACGTCGAGAGGATCACTTCAGAGTGTGTTTCACTCGTGACCCCGGCCACTGATCGTCTTTCTCTGCGCTCGAGTCATTGTCGAACGACAGCCGATAGCAACCGGGAGCGAATGACACGCACAGCTGAACAACTCACTCGAGGCCACAGACTAAATCTCTTTACGGTGTCGTGATACGTTCGTTAATTCCATGGTACGTAACGGTGCTACGAAAATGCAGCCAGCGCTATATACTCGAAGGCGCCGAAATTTGCCCGTTTGAAGTTTCGACCGCTTTCACGCCATGTAGGCCTTTCATACTTCGTAGACACGGTTGCCACCGAGGGATTTACGTCACCCTTGTATGTAACACCTAAGCCTGACGAGCTAGCAAAGTACGCGCACATATAGGCTCTAATCCAGAATACATAAATCTTAGTCTTGCGCCACGTTCACGTGGAATAAAATAGAAAACAAATAGCGTAGCTGCCTTGCACTAACTCTCGTATACAGCATCTAAAAAAAAAAACAAATCAATGCACATGTTCCTTAGAAGTTTCGCTGATTGTCTTAATATACTCAGGTAAGACAAAACAATGTAGGCTAGCTTAGTGCACAAGAGTCATGAAAAGCGAACGTCATTGTGCCGAATGCACGTCACTAAACAAGGCGAGCGCTACGGTTGTAGGAGTGATCACAATGCAGCGAATGAAGCCACCACGTGCCGGCGAAGCCTTTCCCGTTATACAGAACGATACGCCGTTGCATAAACTACTTCCGCATGTTTAAACGGCACTGACGCGAGCTTTGCCAGCTGTTTTCCTACCTGTCTGTCGTAAAGTATGACGCTGGATGAATCGTACGCCTCGCTCCCGCTTCTGGACGAGACGCTGGCATCGCCACTGATGCCCAAAATGCTACTGTTGCTACTGTCGTCGCAGAAGTCGTTCGAGGAACGGCGCGGCGGCTTGAGGATGCCCTTGCGGCGTCTAGAAGACTTGGTCTTCTGTACTTCGCACAAGCAGGGTGCTGCTGTTAAGTGCATTTGGGATGGCGTTGGGCTCTTAAGAAACGAAGTATCCGAGGACGATTACGGTCTTCGTTCTTACAAGACTTCCCCAGCGGGAGGCTTGCTGTCTCGGCCTTAGCACCTTTGACGTTCTTCTTTGTAAACAGCAGTTCTCCGATAATGAGGCTGTTTGCTATAGGAAGTGATGATTTGCCAACGCGGCTTAAAGCTAAAAGAAGGTGCAGGCTCGGGGGTGTACGAGTGGGCACAAGTGCGATCTTCGGAGTGGAAGAGCCAGTCTTTTATCCAGGCAGGAGGATGCTCTCTCTGCGCAACGATTAAGCGTCTGGAGCTTCGGTTCAGTAGCCCTCGACTTTTTACGTCCGATCGGCGGAGCATGGAATGAGGAGAGGGTGAGAAGAGAATGAGAAGAACAAAGAAGTTGTGGTTTTTGGGGAGGAGCACTCGGCGTGGTGAAAGCTTATCCTGATCTGCACAAGGAGAGGGAGCAGGGGGTACGTGAGAAGTGAGCTGTGATAGAGGCAGTTCAAGAGAAGAGCCGTTGTCGGGAAGCGATAATCGGCACGGTCCATTGTTTTGGAAGGACGTCACGAGCCCGATTGCTTCACCAGACTCAGGGCTGTGTGCTTTTTCGCGCGTGGCCGATCGCTTGAAAGTCCAGATGATCAGATGTCATTCTCTTTGCTCCAGGGCCGAATAGGTGGCGCACCTAACAATGCTGTGGTGTTTGATGCATGTCACGAAATATTCTCAGCCACTGCTATAGAGTAATTATACTGCTTTGATATGGTTGATGCAGTAGATATCCTGATCGCAAAGTTTTGTCCAAAGAATGCATGGTGAATGATCTAGACGTCTTGAGCGTGTTCACATAACTTCATTAATTAGCATGCCGAATGAGCTCGCCAGTGGAGTTCAAGACATAAAAAAGACGACATGACCTAGAAATGGAAGAGAACAGACAAACAAAGTATGTTGATCTTCCCATGCACACACTTGCGATACTGCAGCAGCTGCGCAGCGATTACAAGAACCGTTTTTCTTGCTTCGTGTTACAGAACGCCACGATAAAGCATCGCTACCGTATGAAAGCACTCGAATTATGTACCGTGTTTAAACAGTCTCCTCACGATTCCAAAACTTCTCTTTCACAAAGAGAAAGAGAGAGAGCATGAGTTGAACTGTTTAACTTTATGCGGATCATAGGAAGCGCTTTGTATTCCTCTCGTCTACGATGTCAATAGGTATTTCACACTTGTCTTGAGTGATAACGTCAAGGGGGCCCATAAGATATTTTTTTCTGGTTGAGGGTGCGGTAAAACGGAGCAACATTCGTTGTCTAAGACTGAACTTCTAAATTCCAACTAAGTCGGGAAGTATCTTCCTAGATGACGTTTGCTTGGGTCACGTATCAAGCCGATAGCATGATCACTCATACGCAGTAGGCGGGATAGTCGCTGGAGTTCACTGGACAAGTTGTTTATTGGATGGTCAAATAATTCAGTCTAGTGCTGTGCTGTTTTTGCCGACAGATCATTTACGTATTCTTCAAAAGGTATCCTAAAAGTGCACAGTGCGGGCTAGAAGACATTTATAAGAACAATAATACAGTGCTTCGCTAATATAGTTATACACTCAATTTTTACTATTGATTTCAGGGGATGGGAGAAGCGTGCTACCAGATTTTTTTCCCTCCCAGTATCCTATTAAACGTGATATTGTTACGCCTGAAGTAGGGGTACGGGGGTTTATTGAACGGAAGCTGGGATGGCGAGGCCGCACCGGATAAAACTGCCGAGAGATCTTCTTCTTCCCAAGTCCACACTTCTATTCCCTCTTATCAATCCGGCACATACACGTCGTAATATTTCCCCCTTCGCAGACGAAGCGCACCGCGCGTTTCATGCATCGTCCCGCAGT